AGTTCTAAACAGATATATACTATTTATTGTGAAATAATATCCAACTTGATCTAAGAAAAATTCTGAACTCGAATCAAAAGTAATATAGATACATATGTAAAATGGATTTCTATCTGGTTATAAGGTAGAAAATCACATATTACTGTAGGTAAGAGTTTCATTCACTTTTGAATTTTTGCTTTACTTTATTTTGTTTCATTTTTATTTTATTTTTTTTTCTTTTCCATTCAGCTATAATTGTGTTACCTTTTGGCAATTTTCTTCAATACCAAGCATTATCAATTATGTATTGAACAGCATCAAAGGAAATAGTAAAGTTGGTTAAATGTGTAACGGAAAGAGATACTTTTGTGGGAGGGTGGAGATAAAGTGGCTGGTTAAAAGCAGGGAAATGAAATGAACAAAAAGTAACCACATTCGAATGGTTTGCCATTTATTAAGATTTCCCAACATGTAAGAGAGTAAATGCTGAAAAAATATATTTTTTCGCCTCTTATTAATCATAGAGTTGACTTGAAGCAAAGAAATTAAAAAACAAGTAAGAATGTGTGTAGTCGTACATTGCCGACCATATGATACCCTGTGGTAGGGTATGTGGAATATGTTTATATAGTGATTACGAGCCGATTGGCATACAATTATTTTTGGGTGTTACAAACATCAGCACAAAAGCATAATTACCCTCCTAACTAAAGACTGTTGTAGATAAATCTAGTATTTGATTATTACAATATGAACGGAATATATGTATGCAATACAGGTTAAAATTAAGAAAATATTCTTTTTTCAATTGAAGTTTTAAGCATTATTGCAGCGATATATACAATTGAGCATAAACCTAATGTTTAAATCATGCTAAAAAAATCCCAAAAGGATTGGTCCATAAAGACCTCATATGGAGGCTAGGTCAATTATGGGCCAATAGTCGTCATACGTTTTAAAATACAATTTCTTAGTATATAAAACTAATTTATGCAAAATTTTATCAGAAATGAAGATCGCATTGCATCTGAATTAATTTTCCAATACTTATTAAGGAAAATACTCTTAAATATCATTTGAAATTACTAAATTTGTTGTTATTTGTTGAAACTAACCATGATCGGCATCAAAAATAATAATAATAATAATAAAAATGTTCGTTGAGACATATTGAATTAGCTTCTTTTAAAGGTGTGATTGATTTCTAACAACAATCTTTTTTATAAATAATTGAGGTACAAATAAATCGTATTTCCCAACCCTCTTGAATTATTTAGAGTTTATTTGTATCTTTTAACATTGATTAAGAGATTTTCGCTCGATTTTAGGTTCACATAAAGTGGCACAAGTGTTTTTAATCCCGAATACGAAATATGTTTTTTACCACAAGTAAACGGTTTATGTTTACAAATCGTCATGGTTTTAATAATTTTTATAATTTTAATACAACAATTGTTCTCCTGTAGCATATTTACAGAAAGAGTTTATTTAATTCGATCAAATCAAGTGAATGCATATTATATGAATTTGAAAATTGTTGGATTAATTCAGTGATGGATTTACAGTTGTTTTAAACAATTTGTTTAGCCATTAAAAATTTATATATTGTGATGCATTTCTAAGCAATTGAACATGAATACTTCTAACTTTGAGTACACATATGTATGTGTATATTAGATCTACTCATAGAAAAAAGGTTTTTTGTTATCCATCTAAATTTTTTTTGCCAAGTAATCATCATAATCCAATGATAAGTGAGCTTTATTTAGATCAACATAAGTAATTTAATCATGAATGCGATTCACATTTTAAACAGCTTATATGTATGTATATATATTCGACCTGTTGGATTTTTGCTAATGTTTTTGGACTTAATTGGTAGGCCAAGTCTATACCTATAATATAAAGAAAAAAATCTCACAGAAATCTCATTTTTTTTTGAGTTACCTATAAGGTTAAGAATAAATTATTTAAATAAGATCCACAAGGATTGTTGGTTTTCATTACTGCAATTAAAATTTCGGTAACAAATTAAAGAAGTTTAAAGCTATAAGCTGGTTATTGAATCCATGAAATTATATTAATTGAGCGGGTCTAATGAATATTTCTATGTGAATATGGACAGAATAAAAAATATAAAATCTATATTGAACTGAACTTGTATAAAAAGAAAACTAAAACATTCCAAAGTTACTTTACGTTTTATGTGTGTGTGAGATTGAATGTACACACATTCAGGTGTAAGTGTGTGTGTATATGTACCTATACATACTGTGTAATTGTGAGTATTTTGAAAATAAAGGTTTTTTGATTTCTTTTATGTGTGGAAAATTGAATTTTTGTTCATGATGTTTGACAACGACACACAATTTGACAATGCAATAGTACAACAATTTATGTTATTTTAAGATTCTTTTCCTTATCTTCGGTTGCAATAACAATAATAACAACAACGATAACAGCAATACTAAAGACAACTGCATTTTGCCCTTATAATCGTACCTTTACAAGGGTTACGAAATTTCTAAACAAAAAATAAATAAAACACACATGCGAAAGAAATAATACTAAAATATAAAAATTGACAAGTCCAAAACAGTAAATTCTACAATACGAGCAACAAACAAATATAACCAGGACAACAGAAGTCTTACATATACACTAGACTTGCCCTTAAAAATGTTGTTGTATTTGTTGTGCGTAAATTTTGTTTCTAGATATCTAAAATTAATTACTGCGAACAACTTTAAAGAGTAAGATTCAATATCAATAGATAAATAAATTTATTCCTTGTGGATTTCCCTGTCTAATTAGCTTTGAATTTTACCACAATTTCTTTTACACTTAAGGCAACATTATTTTGTAAGGACAGGGCTATTTTATAAATATAAGTACATAGTTTACATTGATATACAGTCCATGTAGATATGTATGCAAGTATACCAGTAAGTAAATCTTTACTTCTGTCTAAACGTACAACTAGTTTCTTATTCAACTGCATCGAGCCATTACAAAAGCAACTGCAATCATCGATTGTTGTACAAACCTATGTATACATACTTTTGTTCATGTGAATGAGTGTGTGCACTTTATAACACAGAAATCTATTTGCAAAACCCATAATATATACATTCATTCATACCTTTAAGAAAAAAATTTCAAAAATAAAAAATTAAATATCTGTATGTATTTATTTATTTATTTCTATATACATACATACATATGTACTAGTAGTACATCTTACAACATTACAAGTGAGTATAAACAAAAAAATACAAGATTTCCGAAAAAACTTAAAACTCAATTGAAATAGATTTACGTTACATTTTCTCACTCCTTTCTATGTCTTTCCTTTATTATTTATTTTTTTTTTATAAATTTTAGAAGATAAACGAAAAACAAGTATATTTGTTGTATTAGTTGATGTTGTAGTTTATACTAGGGTAACTTCTTCTAAGTATATGGGAATAGAAGATAAGATATCTTAACTATTTTCTTTATACATATTTATGTATATTGGTGTTGTTGCTGTTATTTTTGTCGTTATTGTTGTCAAAGACAATTTAACAATTTGTAAAGTTTATCATGTACAACTTGTACAACGAGTATTACAAACAAAACACAAATATACATACACAAAAATAGTTGGATATGTATACATACATACATAAGTATATGTATGAATACTTGTGCATACAGATTAGATTAGGCCCGTCCTAGTTTGAATGAATTATTGAGTTTCAATATGTTTATCATAATGGAACCTATACATAAGAATTTACATTGGTGTAACGTTTCGAAAGCATTTAAGAATCAATTGCAAAAATTCAAGTTTTTGAAATTATTATCTTTTTAACGAATCAGTCTAATATTCCACTCATTGCAACGCTTTTAAATATATAAAATCTCAACTCTTTTCTAAAATACACTTCAAAATAGAGTACAGCGTATTTACAGTCAGTAAAATTGAAATAGCGTCACAATTTCAATTACAATGTCTATTCCATAAATTCCATAAAATATATTATGTTCGATAACTCCAATTTATTGCAATACTGATTTAATTTTAGCACCAATAGATACAAATTTGTCATCGAACTTTAAAGGACTTTAATGTAATTTTATTGGGTGTAAAATATTTTCAAGTTTTGCTTAATAGAGTTTTAAAAACAATTTGTATGTTTGTTTAAATCAAAGTAAATGTTTTAAACGTATAAAGAAATTTCTATGTTTCATTTTATTCTATTAGTGAGTATATTTTCTATAAAATTGCAGAGGACAGTTCAATAAGTTTAATTCGTTTAATGCCGAAAGGCATGTTTTCTAATTGTTTTTAAACAATATGTTCCAAAAAAAAAAAAATACACAGAATAAAAAGGGTTTAGCATTTAAAATAGTTTGGTTAAAGATTGTTTTCGAATATAAAATGAACTAACTTATTTATCCATCTTGATACATATACATATGTATGTACGGACATGTATGTACATATGTACTATGTATATGAGTATGAAATATGTATTTCATATCTTACAATTAAGACAACTAATTCATAAAAATATAAGTTCTCTTACTTTATTAAACATTCATTTAATTTTAATGTTTTCAGTTGTGAGATTCAATAGAATAGAGAATAGTTATCTGATTTTAGAATAATAATTTAGTTAATCCAAAAATTGCTCCCCTGTAAACATTATTGGAGTACATGATCCATTAAGTAGTCCTATGTAATTCAGGCATGTATCATGTTTATTTTTTTAAAACAACATGGTCCATAGTATTTATTACATAGGACCATCTTGCTGATTATGTACTCCAATAATTTTAGCAAGGGAGTACTTTTTTATTACTCTATTGTAATGTATATGTGGATTACGTGGTCCTCACCTAATACATCACAATGTTAAATGGAGTATAATTTGCTATATAATTGGATAAGTTTTGAGCCATTCCTTTGAGGGATACTCTTTACATGCGAGTGCGGAGTAGTCTCAATTTTTGCAGGGTATGTACAAGATATTTTCATTGATAGTTCACTTTAACTTCATATAATTTTTTTTATAGATTTATGTTAATTTAAAAAAAATTTTCAAAATAAATAAACTTTTAATTTTGATTAGTTTGGTTTTTGAATGCAAGCAAAATTGTAAGCTTAGTTTTATGCGAAAGCTAATTAATTATGAGAAGAATTTTAAGTTTTTATAAGAATACAAAAGTTAAAAAAGTGACTTAAACGGCTTAGGCAAAATGATATCATATAGAGAAAAAGATGTTGATACTCTTGGTAAAAGAAATACGTTTGGGACGGGAGCTAGCGGTGGAATGATATTATTTCATAGTAAACATTTGAACAAAAGTCTCGACGAAACTAATATCAACCAGCAGCCGGAAAAGAAGCCATCGATCTTAACAATGAAGGATGAGTGGACTACATATTCTTCGATTGGAGTGCAGCGCAAAATTCTGAAACAAAATACTAAAATAATTAAAAATTTTATAAATTCATTGGCAGTTCCATCGTGGTATCGGGGAGTTTCGCTGTTTCAAAAGAAGTCGGCAGATCTCTTACTAAATGCAATACGTGATGACTGTGCTCAGCGTACGGTGTATCGAACGATGAGGTGCTTAGATTCTATAGGTTTAGATCCCTTGCCAACAAAAAAGCAATTACATTCAATTTTACCGCTTTGCGGAGGCAGTGATTTGGCCCTTTTATGGTTCTTGATGGAATGGTTATATCGAGACAATGAATCTGACTCATATAGTGTAAATGAACAGTTGATATTGTCTAGTATAGCTCATTTGGATATGAACGCAACACTGCGAGAATTAGATCGTATTTTGCCTCCAGGTCAAGCTCCAAAGAGTGAGATTTTTCAAAGCAGCAGAAAGAATTTCCCAAATAGAAAAAATAATAGCATAAAACCTAGCAGTGGAAATATACTGCCATATTTCGAAAAATTGGGACGACCTAGATTAATGAAAAGTAGTTATTTTGGCAGAGAATTTAATCGAAAAGAGATTTTGCAATCTGTCCATCAACAATTTAGTAGTTCCTCACATCTAATGACAAACGAAAGCTATCGCGGGTTCCAAGGTTTCAACAATAATCACAAAGAAACAACAGTTCACAACTTGGCGAAAGATGAAATCACCAGATTGTTAAATAATTTCGAATCAGCCACGTTTAATGAAGGCAAAATCCAAACAGTATACAGGCAGCAGGAAGATATTGATTATTTAACAAATACTTTTAATGCTCAATTAAATGCAATTGCCAAAATGAAAGTTCAGGAAATGGAACATATTTTCGACAGAAAACATGTGAGAGCAGGCATTATTCATAAAGTAATACATAATTTAAGAAATAACAATTGAATTTATTTTTAGCAAAGTTATAAACGTATTGTAAGCCGTCTTCAATGCGATATAGAAAAGTACCGCCATGAGTTTCGTGCAATGGCTGAAATCTGTCATAAACAGTGTAACTTAAAACTATCATCCAATACAGTTCGTGAAAATAAACCAAACATGGTCTCAACATTGCATTCAAACCAGGACGATGGTTATGGCGAACAACAAAATATTAACAGTACGTCTTCATCGAACCGTAGATACTCATTTCAACGGTCTCCTGGTACTGAATTTCCTGATAAATACGACTTTAGCTCTAAGACGTCTGAAAATGACACAGACCCGAAATATTTTTTTATCTCTCAGCAGCAGCCGCCTTTTAAATTTGACTATTGTAAAATGTTCAATTATAAAGAATTTATAAAAGAAGAAGATAGCGATGGGCTCGATGTTACGGCCAGCAATTATATTCATCAAATTTGGGAACAGGAATTGAGGAAACATGAGGTAATAGAGTTAACTAGTAGTCCAAAAGACAGAGTTCAACCAAGTATAGTAGATTACGGATTGGATTACTATGATCCAGATGACGATGAGCTAATGGATCGTATGCTCAAAGACGCAATAGATATTATGAAAAAAGACCATCGATTTGTATTTGCTGCAATACCAGCTGCACATCGTTTTCCTATGCTTCGTGAATGGATTCGTTTGAGATATGGCAAGACGTATAAAAAAAATGAAATGATTAGATCCTTCAAAGAATCTCAGCCAATATTCTCAGCGTTAGCTAAGGTAGGATTACCGGTGGAATTGCCTTCTAATGCCAATATGGGTACAGATTTAATAACGGATTATTCCTGTCGGGACTACGTTCTCAAAAAAGTAGACTTAATTATATACCATAAAATCATGTAACAATTTTGATTAAATTTGTATTATTCCAGTCAAACTACATTCGCAACAAATATTACAGACGAATCGATAAAGCTATTTTGGCTTTATCCCGAGTAATTTATTTTGCAATGCGCCCATTATTATGTTGTAATGGTTCGCCCAGCAATACAATATTCGCGTATATGCCTGCACACAAACGTAAAAGTTATCATTTTCGCCCCTGGAAACCTGAAGAGTGTATGAAACGCAGTGTTTGAAAAGTGGATCTCACACATCTGGCAGTTAACAAACAAGTCCACAAAAACAGTCAACAAATTAGTAAAAAAATGCATAATATACATATAGAACATTTTGCGAGAAATATTAAAATATGTATATGTATTTGCTCTGTTCTAGTATTAATTAGATTTGTAGTTTTTAATTGAGTGCAATAATTATACATATATTGCAAAAACTTTAAACCTGAAAGTATTGGAACAAAGCTATTACATAATTACTGAGTCAATGTACATAATTACTTCATAAGGCATATAAACGGTTAAAAGTCTATAAAGGTTTTTGGCATTAAACTAATGATATCCATTCTTAGCCAAATTTGAGTTGTAATGTAAGAAAATTTTAAAATAATCTTAAATTATCTATTTTAAAACTAAAAACATTTAATAAAAAAAATCTTGTGAATTGATACAAAATTAAATCTGATTTAACATTTTTAGGTCTTAAGACAATGTCGTTACCGAAACAAATTCCAAAGCCCAGTAAGCAACGATGATGATTTTGTATGTTCAAGATCATTTGATGTTCTTAGGGTACAATTATGGGTAATTAAATGTAATTATTGTTATTTATCTGCTGTTTGGCAAATGTTTTTTTTGTTTTTAGCGAAATTGCTACTTAAAAGTGCATTTATGGTTTTAATTGAAAAGTGTTAATTGTTTTAGCACATGCAACATGTCCGTGTAAACAGAACTGTGCAAAACACGCAACCATTTGGTGTTATTTTTACACATGTGACACAGTTTGTGTATGTGTGTGAAAGAGTGCGTGTGAGTGTGTGCATTATAATTTAAACCAAATTTTATCATATAAATAATACGATAAAAAAATAAAATGGGAATAACTAAATATTTAATTAACAGTAACAGTAACAGCAACAGTAATAAAAATAACTGGCTGTGGCACGAGAATTGTAAAAAGGCCACTATTGTTTGCTTTAACCGTATTGCGAGGGAAATGAATATTCTGCGAATAAATGGCTTTTTGCCTCTGTTGGTAATAATTGGCTTTATGGCTACTATAATGGCGAAAGGATATTTCTTGAAAAGGGAACAACCAGGATTAATGGTAAATTATTATCTGTATATTGTTATTTTTCTCTTTATAAACTAAAATATTATATGTATGTATATTCTTTCGAAAAGGCAACACAATTTTATAATGATTTGAACGCTTATTTCATGGCAGATAAAATACGGGTAAGCATAATTAAAATTATATGTATTTCCAGTTATAGTATGTATGTACATTAGACCTGTCCTTTTAAATGATTTTATATTGGACATTTATATGTACATACGTATATACATATATAATGTAAACTCAATTATTACATATTAACAAAAATGAATTTCTAGATGCGTCGTCAGTTAGGGGACATACCTGCTCCCCCCGATTTTCCTCATCCTCCCGGTCTTTAAGATGTTTTTCTTGCAATGTTAACAATTCATATACATACATATTTTTAAAAATATTCGTTTACTTTTAAATAAATTATGAGGTACCGTATGCAAAAATAATATATTTTATTTGTAGATGATATTAGTGTATGTCAGTAGATACATGATAACAATTATAATCAGATATAATTTGTAGGTAGAGTTTTCAATTTGGGATTGCCCGTTTGCTCATATTTCAGCCATGAACAGATCAGCAAAATTATGAAACGTTACCTAAAATATTTTGTGATTAATTTTGACCAGTTGTGAGCTGAGCCGTTTATAAAAAATATATTAAAGAACAAATTTTACAATAAATATGTTTTTTTTTCTTCAGAAATCTAAATTTTAATTTTTTCCAATTTCATGTTATTACATCACATTCTGGTAAAAATATATACATACAAATACATTTTAGAGTATAATTTAAAAGTTTTTTAAGTCACGTTTTTAAGGCACTTAATATTTTTATTTTCAATTTTGTGAAAATTGCTATGTTAAAGAAACTATAATTACAATTTTGAGTCGGTCTAATGCTGAGTCAAGTTGGATTACCCGACTTATTTATTGATCTAGAATACTTTATGCGGTTGGTAATAAAAATTTTAAAAGAAATGATAAACTTTAATTCGCATATATTCTTGTCTTGTCTTGGTGAACGGTATAATAACTACTTATGTGGTAAGTTTTAGAAAAACAATTTTAAAATAAAATATAGCTCAAAATAATTCAAACCTCACTACAATGATGGGATGGATGATTGAAATGCGAGTTGACGTATAAAAAATTGCATTCTCTGAAACCCCGTTTTTCAAATAGTATAAACACCAACTAAAACATGTTTGCGAGTTTTTCTTTATTTCTAATTCTTAAAAAATATATGTACGTCATCTAAAGTAATTTCTACCTTGTTAAATAATAAATATTCACTAAAAACTGTGCACTTAAGCGCATAAATATTAAATGCGTTTTCTGTTGGGTTTTTACACTAGCAAAGTGATCACTTTTTTCTACCTTTTTGTAGCACTCACATTCAGTCACTCACCGATGTGTATCTACATTAGAATGGTTCTGTGTATATGGGCCTAAAAAAAATTTGGTGTTTTTAAATGAATCCATATAATAGATTAAATTATTCCTTAAACTAGTATGAATGACTTTTTTATTCCAAGCTAATAAATAAAAAATTTAATAATTAAACCATTTTTTGGGGTCATCGTAATGAGCGTGAGTACATACATACATAGATTCGTGCATTTTTAAATACATATCGCTCATTTACTACAAGACTGGCATAATCCAAAAAAAAAAAGTCGTGTCGAGAAAAATGGCTTGGAATGTTTTATGAAATTCTTGAGACTTTAAAGACTATATGAGAGACTTTAAAAGAGCCCTTATTTCTTACTACTGTGTTCAAATTTGTTCGAATTTTGAGTTATGCCAGTCTAATAGTAAATCAGCGATATGATGTACATATGCATATACATATGTATATATACATATTTCTACTTGTAGTGAATTCTTTCAACACTATTTAAATTATAGCATGTATGTATGTTAGTTCAAGTTTGCTCTTTTTATTTAATATTAACTCGTTCTAGTCAACTAATACATACATACAGCCACATTAATAGAGTATTACTAACCGGGGCATACATAAACTCCTAATTTCGATATTTATTTTATTATTTTTTGTACAATATTATTACATTAATATTATAACTTTCAACATTTTACAAATATTTTTCTATTGCGCGAAGCATTTATATTTTATTTTTAATTTATGATAATTTAAAAAGTTATGCCCCTAATTAACGTGCATGCTTATAAACAAATATGTATGTATGTATGTATATGTGTTTGAGTTTGCATATAAATAAGTAAAGTTTGTCGCCTTTATATGTACATACATACATATACATATATGTAAGAGTGAGTCGTTTTTAAATAAAAAATTATATAAGTGCATATGTGTATTACTCAAATTAGACAAGTCCTTTAAAAAAATTTATTTTCTTATCTGATTTTCAGTATGGGTTCATATAATTTGATTGGTTTCTAATTTGTTATAGTTCAGCATATTAACTACTAATGAACAAAATAACATATTCGTTTAACAAATTTTTTTTTATAAAAGAAATGGAATCCTGCTAATGTTCTTACTTGTGCAATGTTTACTTTTTTCACATTCTTATGGTGAAAATTATCCTTTGGAATCCCTGTCAGATAAAAAAACAACACAAGAGTTATGTTGATCTGCTGTAACTGTTTCTTTAAAGTTATGCGTGCTATGCATATAAAAATATTTACATGTTAATATCTATTTACAGTGTACATACATATATTCATATGTGTACATTAGAGGTATAACGTTTTTAATGGAAAATAATTACCAAGGCTTATTTTGCTGCTTTAATTTTAGGACTTACAACTATTTTTTAAGCGTCCACGAAAATGTAATACATTCATATACATATGTATGTACATATATGTATCTTTGCTTATATTTTTTCAATATTACATATTGATATTCTGGTAAAAGATCTGGGGATATACCCTAATGTTTATACATACACACGAAGTAAAATCAAACATGAAAAGAAAGGCTTGAAAAGAAAAAGGTAAGTAAATGACACTAACGTAAGAAATATCCATACTTTAAAATCTAGGATACGAATACAAAATCATTAATGAAAATAAATGTTTAAAGATTATTTTAAAATTTATTTCGTCAATAAATGACAAAATTAAATTTAAACCAACATTAAAGTGCTTCAACTTATGAAGAATGAGAAATAGAAATTGATTTACCGATTATCTCTTGAAAAAAACTTTAAATGAGTAATAAGAACCATAATAACTAAACAATAATTTCGAATTTAATTGTTAATGACGTGATAATTAAAAACTCCAAAAAATACATGTTTGTCCTTTGTTCAATCTCGTTTAATATTTACCCAAGAACAACATTTTTTTTAAAATATATTTTTCATTCTAATATAAATTTTTTTTTTATTAGAACCGATTTTGATGTTTCTTATTTTAACCAACTGAAGGACTGATATATAACTTTAGGCTTTTTTTAATCATTTTAAGAAATAAGAAGAAGAAAGACATTTGTTATTTAAGATAATTATTTTTGTTGAAAATCCCAATCTATAATCATACTTAAAATTAAAAAAGAATACGAAAATTGTAGCCTACTTGTTCAATATTTTAAAGCAGAAATAAAGTAAAAGTAAATCATGAAAACATTTCCAGGCTGTAGATAATTGAACATGTTTTTATTTCTATAAGGATTTGAATATTCATTTTTGCATTTACATTTATGTATGTACGTATATACATATACATAATTGTATGTAAATGTATGGACGGTGATAATAAGATTTTGTGTAAGTAAATGTTGTGTGTGTATTTATGTAATGGAATGTGAACATACGTACATATATGTGCTCATTTAATGCACAAGCACTTATTATCGCACACGTTAGAAAAACTAAATGATATGAATGTTGTAAAAAATAAAACAAGCAAAACAATGCAACTAAGGAAATAAAAAAGAATGTTTAGAGGAAACTTAAACTACAAAACAGGAAACTAAGCTACGAGAAGAAATAATGAGAGAGGAATAGACTAGCAAAAACTAAATACATCTACATGTGTAAGTGAGTGAGAAGTAGAGGAAGAACACAAAAAATAAAAATGTAAAAATCCAACAACAATAAAAACATGAACATGTTCAAATGCTGGAGCATTATTATAAACCGACTACCATAAAATACTTATACACATACAGAGTTAGTCTCAAAAATACCTACATATTCATACGTACGTACCAAAAAACATAAATGCACCAATACATACACTCATATATACAATATGCATAACAAAGTTGTATTGTTAGTGCTATTTGTCGTTACAAATGTTGCCATCACATTAACATAAAAAAAAAAAAAAATAAAAACAATAAAACAAAAACAACTACATCAACTGTAGTAGTAGCGGCAGCAGCAACTGCAACAATAACAACAATAAACACAACATTCAAAATGTGTATGTATGTATTCAAATTACAAATAAACAAACATCTTCTATATAGTGTTTGTGTGTATGTATGTATTAGGGTGATCGACTCGATTTTTCAACCGGTTTTAAAACCGGTTTTTTCTGCTTTACCAGTGTCGGTTTTTTCTTAATGTTGATTTTTCGAATATCGAATAATCCGGTTTTTTCACTTTTTAAAAACCGGTTTCGAATACTTTTATTTGCTTTGTATTCAAAGATTATTTAAATTAAA